CGGTTGGATTGCCCTGCATACCACGTACTGGGTCTACAACCTCCCGGTTGGATTACCCAGTCGAGTCAACCCAACCGAGTCAGCCCAATCGCGTAAGTTGGGCGTACTCAGCAGAACGTGGGGCGTACTCGATAGTTGACCAGGAACGGGGATTGACCGCGTACGCGCAGCATACCAATTGGTACGCCCAACGTACGCAGTTGAACTTCTTCTTAACGCAATAAGTGCTTAATACTAAATCTTTTACGTCGAAATTGCAGATCCAAGTTCCAAATATCATTCTTGACCATAAATTTCCAACTTTATGGTATTGCATGGCTAAAAAGTTCTAGATGTTAGAAACACCAACCTCTTAACCCATTAAGACCACCAAGCACATGCATGGGGAAGAATTAAGAGCCAAGACTCTATTTTTATGCTTCTAAACTTCTCAAAACGTTTGAAAGGATAGTTTAAATGGGCTGGAGCATGCCATACTAAAAAAGGTTCAGACTTGGGACTAAAATGCTCATGAATCAAGAACTTAACAAGATCTATGAAATTACAAGCCATGTTTACAGCTTTATACCTCTTGGAGGTTTCTAGATAGGTGAAGATCCCATATCCAAAGCTCCTTCAAGCTTCCAAGGTGGTTCTACTTCCTTCTTTCTCCTTCAAGACCACCAAAAACAAACACAAGGGTCAAGAATGCTCAAACAAGTAGCTAGGGTTTGCTAAGATCGTATGGAAGTGTTGGAGGCTAATGAGAGATGAGGTTTGGAGGCCATAAAGTTGGTTAAATAGGTTCCAAACCCTAAAAGTTAGGTACACTCAGCGTACGTGAGCCCCCCTCAATAATTACAAAAATGTGACTATGGGCCATTTTGCAAGCTTTCTCATGCAAAAGGGCTAAAATGCAATAACTCTACAAACTTAGAGTTAAAATTGAAAATACATCATCATTGAAATGTTACACGTAGGTATTTCCGAGTACTACAGCTTTCCTTTAGATCTCAACAACTAATTCTTAACTTATTTTGAATTCATACTTTTATAGAGATTACGTTGTTAAAATCCGTGCGAAAATCATAACTCCTTCATCCGAACTCCGTTCTTGACTGTCTCCCTATCGATAAATTCTTATATACGAGATTTGCAACCTCATTTACATTGTTTTGGCTAACAATCATCCGATTTTAGTATCGATTTATGTGTCGCACACTGGTGTACTATGTTGAACCGAAACTTTGAAAAATCATAACTTCCTCATACAAAGTCAAATTTAGACGTTCTTTATATGCATATTTTGTAATTTTTATTACTACGACTTTCATTTAGATTACTTTGGCTAATAAGCAACCTATCTCAGATTCATCTTTTATGACACACTTTGCCATATAGGGCTTAACGTGAAACTTCTAAAAATCATAAATTCTTTATACGAAGTCAGATTTGAGCGTTATTTATACCTACAAAATCGTCATCACGACCACTGCAACTTTCGTTAAGATTATTTATCCTAAATAATCTTTTACTTAACATAATTCATTAAATTTATAATAAGAATGTTTTATAACAAATATTATAAGCCCATAATATATGTTAATAAAACATGTACGCTATATATAAATATCATTTATATAACTCGTATTGCGTATGAAGGATTCTTATTTATAAAAGATTATCCTATTTGAGGATTTAATTATTCTATAAAACGAAAATTTATAATTTATAATCTTTAAAATGTCTAGCCCGAATTTACGAGCGTTACAACATCTTATTGAATAATTTCTTTCTTAAATATGATACATGGAAGACATTATGAATGCCTTGGAGTTCATTTGGTAATTCAAGACGATAAGCAACCTTACCGACCCTTTGCAGAATCTGAAAAGGTTTAATAAATCGGGGACTCAACTTTCCCCTTTCTCCAAAATGGATAACACCCTTCCAAGGGTACACTTTTAATATCAATGTGTACCAACTTTGAATTCCAATTGTTTTTGTATTTTATTCACCTACTGTTGTTGACAAAGTTGCGCCACTCGCATATGCTCCCAAATTTCTTTAATTTTTGCTTTGGTTCATTCGAAGATTTCTACACATGCAAGAGGTTTTTCTCCATCATATGTCCACATTTCACCCACCTCATCATTATTCTCCAAGACATCACCTCCTTTACCCCTCATTTCCATCAACACTGCAAACCACTATCATCACCACTGCTCATTCAATCAAAACCTTAGAACTATACGAGAGTTTACCAACAATAGATCACAACCAAAAAACACGTAATCGTGCACAAGTTTCCTTCGATTAAATTAGAGGCTTTAAGACAACCTTTGACTTTGTATTTGAGGCTCCAAACGACCACTGGCTTCCTAAAAATGCAAGTTAGTTCCGGTTTTTCTCTCATCAATGATTCTTCTCTCATGGAGTTGGGGGTTTTAGGGTTTCGATTATATGTTTCTTGATAATGCGGATATAAAGATGGATTTCGATAATTTTTCAAATACACAAAGGGATTTGGGGGTTTCGATTGTGTTGCTTCAAGTTGCTTAACGGATGCTCGATGGGGTAGTAACCATCTCATACCCACATATCCATCTTCTCCACCTCCAATCAAATTGTAGGTGGGTCTCGAACCAAAGAGCAAGTGAATGGGTCTCGAATCTGATTTTCGACGAGAAAATCATCCATGTGTGTTTGGTAGCCCCCGTTTTAAGAATCGAGAAGAGGGGGTTGGTGAGGTGAGAAGATCGACGGTGTGTTTCCTCCGGTGACCTGCTCATCCGGGTTTCGACAAAGGAGACCTGCACCATTTTTCTATCGACTCTGATCTTGATCTCCACCAACTTCGAGAAAGGGATAATTATTGTGCTCGTTCTTCAATTATCGGAGAAGGAGGAAAGGGAAGCACTTGCTGATGACAAGGAAGGGAAGGAATAAAAAGGGTTGTATTAGCAGGGGTGAGGTAGGAAATTGGTAGGGATGGAGAGGTTTAATTTATTTTTCTTTTTTTTTTAAATATAAAATTAGTTAAACGAAATATAATATAAAACAAAAGATGTGGTCTTGCAATATCCACGATATGGAAGTGCATTTCAACATGACAGCTCGGCAGAAGCAGTTTTTCAGTGTTTACGTGCACCACATGCTCAAAATTCTCTTCTAGCTATCCCAATAGATGGGCTTGGCCAACATATGTCTCCTGTGGAGTATCGTAACATCCTCAAATATCAACTCATGATTCCAATATTCCCAGCTGACGAGATATGTCTGGTGTGCCGCAAGACATGTTTGGACTCTTTTGGAGAGCATGCAGTTCATTGCAAAGAACTCTCGGGGTTCAAATACAAGCACCATATGGTTAGGGATGTTTTGGTCGACATATTTAAGCGTGTCGGGGTTTCCGCCAAGAAAGAGGCTCCTACACGGGGACTTCCCAGGGGGTCACCCATCCCGGTACTACTCTCGCCCGAGCACGCTTAACTGCAGAGTTCTTATGGGATCTGCTGCCCTCACGGCTTTAAAACGCGTAGTGACAGGGAAGGTATCCATACCCCTTATAATGAATGGTTTCTCCTTCCTACCCGATGTGGGATTAGGTGCAACCTACATTCACCCCCTCCCATTATAGGGTTCGACGTCCCCGTCGAACACATCGACCCGTGCCTCGACTCTGATACCATTTGTAACATCCCCATTTGGCACGTATCACAATATTGTCCGCTTTGGGCCACTCGACACGAGGACTTCCCCAGGGGGGTCACCCATCCCGGTATTACTCTCGCCCGAAATTAATAAATTAATAAATGATATGGTTTGATACAAGTCAAATTTTGAGCATTCATGCAAACCCCTTATAATGAATGTTTTCTCCTTCCCAGCCGACGTGGGATCAGGTGCAACCTACCTTAAGGTGGGTTGCACCTGATCCCACATCGGCTTGGAAGGAGAACGAAACATTTCCTTATAAAGGGGTGTGGATACCTTCCTTTTCACAACACGTTTTAAAGCCGTGAGGGCAGCAGATCCCATAAGAATTCTGCAGTTAAGTGTGCTCGGGCGAGAGCAATCCAGGGATGGGTAACCCCCTGGAAAGTTTTTGCACCATGAGCCCAGAGCGGACAATATTGTGATACGTGCCAGAGGGGAATGTTACAAATTGTATTAGAGCTGGGGCACGGGTCGATGTGTTCGACGGGGACGTCGAAACCTATAATGGGGGGGGGGGGGGTGAAGGTGGGTTGCACCTGATCCCACATCGGCTTGGAAGGAGAATGAAACATTTCCTTATAAAGGGGTGTGGATACCTTCCTTGTCCCAAAATGTTTTAAAGTCGTGAGGGCAGCAGATCCCATAAGAACTCTGCAGTTAAGCATGCTCGGGCGAGAGCAATCCAGGGATGGGTGACCCCCTGGGAAGTTTTTGCGTCGGGAGCCCAAAGCGGACAATAGTGTGATACGTGCCAGAGGGGGATGTTACATATCCCTTCTCGTAGGCTTGAGGGCTGGAGTTTCACGGCGGGACAAACTACATTAAAATCCGCTACATGCAAGGTCACAAAACATGAGAAATCGTGCATTGAAAATCAACACGTGTTCATACCATTTGCATTTGATACATTTAGTTTCCTTGCGTCGGATGCGATGTAACTTCCTAATATAGTACAACGGATCATACATAGTAATGTTATATCTCCTAAATCTATGAATGTAGTCTTCAAAAGAATTGACTTTACCATACAAAAAAGCTTAGCGGCGCAACTTGTTGCCTGTTTGCCTTCTCATTCGTTGTACGATGATAGCTAAGATTTTTTTTAATCAATGAATTTTAATACCAAAAAGATAGTTAAAGGTCTTTTTATATTGGCGAGAGACCCACGATAAAAATTAAAACCATTAGGATTTTTTATAAATTCAACAAAAAATAAACTTGATATTCTAGAAAAATAACTATAGGGACCATTTATGAAAATTACTCTTATTTTAAAGAGAAAAAAAAAAAAACTAAATAATTTTTCATTTTTCCTCAAAACACTGGCTTGAAGAAAAAGAAAAGCCCCTCCTTAACCCTCGCAAGAGTTCATCGTCACAAACGAACACACTCACCAACAGAGAGATAGTTTTCCGATTGAAAATATATTTGATCGATAAAGATGTTTAGAAACCAGTACGACACCGACGTCACAACATGGTCGCCGGCAGGGCGGTTGTTTCAGGTCGAGTACGCCATGGAGGCTGTAAAGCAAGGATCCGCGGCCATTGGTCTCCGATCCAAGACGCATGTTGTTCTCGCCTGCGTCAATAAAACTAATTCGGAACTTTCATCGCATCAGAAGAAGATCTTCAAGGTCGACGACCATATCGGCGTCGCCATCGCTGGTCTCACCGCTGACGGCCGTGTTCTGTCCCGTTACATGAGATCCGAGTGTATCAATTACGGTTATACCTACGAGTCTCCTCTTCCTGTTGGCCGTTTAGTTGTTCAGCTCGCCGACAAAGCTCAGGTCCCCCTCCTTAACAAACATCCCTCTCTCTTTCTTTGTGTTTGAATGCTTTCAACTTTTAGGGTTTACTTGGGGAAATTGCCAAATTTCTCTTTTCTTCTTCCAATTAATCCCGAATTTGATCATGGAAAATAGTTTACAATGACTTATAGATGCTTTACACTTTACAATCCTTCTAACCTATATTTGTAAAACTTGAAATGCTGATAGTAGATGGAAAATTATGTCATAAACATTGGAAGATTAATGGTACATTTTGCTGTGGGTAGTAAATTTGAGCTCAATGTGTGATTTACATTGCACAATACTCATATTTTTGGAGAAGTGTTTTAAGTTAGATATCTGATAGAGTATAACCTTCTACTTTCCATGGAAATTTACATTTGAGATGAACAAGATAAATACTTTGTTCTGTTAGCAATCCTGTATGCCTTTAATCTCTATTCCCTTTTGGATTGCCAAACAAAAGTGTTTGTTTTCATCATGAATTACCAATTGCCAAACTAATAATTTGAGTAGCATTATATACATTATTGTCTTGAATTCTCCATCATTATATGTTATACACTTGTACCTTGTATTTCACATCATCTTTCATTCAAGATCCAAACACCATGAGTTACTTTTTCTAGTTTCTTACACATGGTTATGTTAACACATTCTATGTCCATTCAATTAGTAGCAAGTTATGCTGCTGAATCAAGATGGCAAGTGTTATTTGTATGTATAGTTAGACCCATACAAAATGACCATTTTGCCCTTGCTTGTTAACAGGTGTGCACTCAAAGGTCATGGAAACGCCCTTACGGTGTTGGTCTACTGGTGGCGGGGTTAGATGAATCCGGGGCCCACCTCTACTACAACTGCCCTAGCGGCAATTACTTTGAATACCAAGCTTTTGCCATTGGGTCCCGCTCACAAGCTGCAAAGACTTACTTGGAACGCAAGTTTGAAAAGTTCACGGGGTCCACACGTGATGACCTCATCAAGGATGCACTTTTTGCCATTAGAGAGACTTTGCAAGGTGAAAAACTCACCAGCAGTGTGTGCACAGTGGCGGTGGTTGGTGTAGGAGAAGCTTTCAGTATTTTGGATCAGGCGACTGTACAGGGGTTGATTAATGAGTTTGAGATTTCCGGTGAAGAGGCTGGTGGTGCTGCTGCGGAGGAGGCTGGTGGTGCTGCTGCTGACCAGGGAGGAGCTGCGGTGGAGCAAGAGGCTGCTCCTATGGATATTTGATTTGAGAAGTGGAGGTGTTTCTTTGTTTTAGAATATGTGATAAATTGAGATGATTACTTGTTGGAATCTTTTTATTTGTGTTTTTTTTTTTTTTTTTTTTTTTTTTTTTTTTTTTGGTCTTTTGAGATTCTATTTTAATGTTGAAACCGTTTCTAAAGAATCTGAACTATCATTTTAAACTTATATAAGCCTGATTGGTGTGTCAAACGAGGTTTTATAACTTTTGGGTTATGAGTTTAAGTTTATAGATCAGTTAAACTATATACTTAAAAAATGTGAAGTAAATGGAGACAATCATGTGAACTTTATAGGATTTTTATTTTCGCAAATAATTTTTATGCTATACTTCAACCTTCGCATGCATAATATTTGCATTATCATTATCTTTACCCAATAGAGATGGTCTTATTTCCCCTGTATTCTTGATGAATTCTTGATGAATTGTATTTCCTTGTAGATGTATATATTCAAAGAGCTTGTTGGTTACGTATATCATGGGACAAAAATAAAAAATTTATCATCCTACCCAAAAAGGTCAAAAACAAGGCAAGAAAAAATATATATGAGATGATTCAAAGTCTTTGATGTAAAAATGATCAAAACAAACAATATAACAACTTTGCAAATGTTGCAAAACTCTTTACCCTCAATATCCATAAACTAGTTCAAGACAATAATCTTATTCACGAAAAAAGCTCTTTCAGGGTATAAACCAAATGATTATTGAAGCATATTCATGGGTTCATTGACCTTCTTATGAAGGATTTTCAACAACTCATTCTTGTCAATCGGCTCTGCATTCCGGTCAGCATGGACTTGTGCCAGGCTGGCATAGTTTGTGGCAGATTTGGAGACGATCGCGACCTCTTCATCCGTAAGCTTTCTTAGAAACTTAGCAGGATTACCTCCCCATACCTAATTCCAATATCAAATCAATAACCTCATCATCATCATCATCATCATCATCATCATCATAATAGTTATTTATGACCTCACGAGTGGGGATTCTCGTACCCTGTCTTACAAGGGCACCAGGAGCAACCATGACATGTTTTTCCACCAAAAAAAAAAAAAAAATCTCAAGCTCGTTTACAAAAACAAAAAGTTTTAAAAAACAAATAGAAATATAGATCACCAACTGTCACATTGTCACCAATCACTGTGGGGTGCACTTTTCCAGGAAGATTATATTGTGCCACGTATACAAGAGAATGGTCTTGTATGTTAGTGCCAGATCCAATACAAATCTTGTTCATATCACCTGTATGTATATTATATAAACAAAATGAGAAAGTTAAACACAAATTTCTTTTGTTTCAGAAAAAAAATATATTCATTACCTCTCAAAATGCATCGGTACCAAATTGACGATCCTGCCCCCACTTGGACATGACCAATGATAGAAGCACTTGGGGCCACAAACGCATCCTTAGCAACCGCATGGGCTTTATTGTAAACATTCATAAGGTCATCACATCAGTGCAATACCAACTCATCTTTCAAGTAAGCCACGTCACCTTTACAATTATCACTCACATCAATAATTAACAACACTCTTTTAAAAGTGGTCTCCATTGACACCTCAATAATTCATTTATACTTCTTCCGTCCCAAAATTATTGTTCACAGACAAAAAACACACAGGTTAAGAAAACATTAATTACCACTAAATAAAAAGACAGTTTTACCTCTTTGTTGCATTTAATTCTATGGTAGTTTAACTAATAAATTGAGGGTATTTTGGTAAAAAAGTATTTATTTTTAGAAGTAGACTATTATTTTAGGACAAACAAAAAAGGAAACATGGACTATAAATATGGGACGGAGGGAGTATATTATTAATTATTTAAAAAACTAAAAATACTAATAATATATATATATATATATATATATATATATATATATATATATATATATATATATACTCTAATAAATGAATGTTTTTTTGCCACATGTCACACTCTCATTCATTTGCCAAATGTCATTTTGTGGTTATTTTAAATTAATTTCTTTTCCACATAATATTTAAATGTAATAATTGCAATAAATGTAGTAATAAATGAATATCAATGTTATTAATGAGGTTACCTTTTAATTTCAAAATTCTCAAAATTAAAGCTCATTAGTTTTTTTTGTTTATTTATTAAATTTTTTTTAATTTAAAAGATAAAAAACATTTTCATTATAACAATTCATTATTTTTTTTTATTTTCTTATAAATTCAAAGTTTTCAAATATTTAGACCTTTATATATATATATAATATATATATATCTATATATATATATATATATATATATATATATATATATATATATATAGAAGTTGAATCAAATTAGAACCCAACTGAAATTCAAATAATGTCAGGCATTCCATTCTAAAGTATATCTTTGACAATCTAAGATAGATGATTATTCAACAAATAACCGATCTGCTGAATGGATATACCATATACAAACCCACATTAAAATTCAATAATCAAGGTGTTGCCCTCCCTCCTTGAGGTCGAGGGTTCAAGTCCCACTGTGGACATAGGTGGAATAATTTAGGATTAGTTTAGTATATATATTTGTATTTGTCCTTCAAAAAAAATTGAAAGGATGTTGATGTGATAAAAGTTAATTAATCGGAATTAGGGATTTGATTTTGATACATATGTTGTTCTTTGAAGTCGTTGTTGCCCTGTAGACGGGAACCGAGACGATCCATGGCTTGACCCGTTTCACGCATCCAAAACCCAACTGTGTATGTTGTTCTTCCTAGGGTTCCCGTGGCCATAGTCGATCAGCGTTTGACTGTGTTCAGGCACTACCTTTTACAGTTAACACCACCTGACCAAAAGTATACAGAAAAGTGAAGCATCGCTCCGTTTGACCATAATGCCCTCTAACTTCTTCTCTATAGGTTTGAACTTTGAACCAAATTGAATAAGTTAGTTTGATCATAGCAAAATTGGGATTGTTTTGGTGAATAATTCTTATAATACATAAAATAATTTTGGGCTCATTACTAAAATGGAAATGAAATATCACTAAAACCATAGTCTCTGATTTTATCATATAATATTATCGTTTATTTTACGAATATGACAGGGTGAGATGAATTTAATTTTACCTAAACTATTTCTCTAATAAAAAGTAACTTCATGAAGTACTTGTGAAATCATGAAATCATGTAATTTGGCGAAATAGATTTTCAAATAAAAATATTAATCTTTACAAGTTAAGTGCAAAATTTGATTATGTTTGAAGTGTGGGTATTTTTGCTATTTTTGTTAAAAGAGGTTCATAAATTTTATAATATGGATAAAATGTCATTACAAATCGACAGAAAGCAAAAAGACAACAAGTTGCGCCGCTAGTCATTTCTGGATGGCAAAACTAATTCTTTTGAAAACAATATTTGTGGATTTAGGAGATATAACATTACTATGCATGACCTGTTGGACTCTGTTGAGGAGCTTCACTGCCTATGGTGCGATAAAACCAAATGTATCAAATGCGAAAGGTATAAATGCATTTTATTTTCAATGCATGCATTCTCGTGCTTTTGCTACTTTGCACGTGGCGGCTTTCAAGGCAGCATGTCCCGTTGTGAAACCCCCGCTCCTCAAACCATAGAGAGGGGAGACCCCAGTAAGATCCACACAAACATGCTTCCCTCTTACCCATCTAAAGACCAAAATGTCAGTCGGTCTGAGTGTGGATCTTCCATCCATGGCATCCGTCAAAAAGTTCACAGACGCTTCTTTCTTCACAGATATACCAACACGCTGATAGACATCAAAGAGAACATCGTTAACCATATCATGTCAGTGTTTGAAGCTAGGGAGCTCTCTACAATGAACCACATGTTCCCCAAAAGTATCCAAACATGATTTACAGAAAATTAGGCATATCTCGTCAATCGGGAATAGAGAAATCATGAGGCGGTATTGAAGATCCTATTCTGTGTACAATTTGCATGCATAAGGCAGCTGACAATGAGGATGGATGGATGTGGATAGTACAGGTTGCGATAGGTGGGCTGAATGTTCTATGATAGTCCGTTGGATCGGAGTGCTACTGCACGAATGCTGCTTGCTTCGTGCTTTGTGGAACTCTTAAGTGATGGGAGTCAACCACTAAGTGGATATGACGATATCTAGGAGGTGGATGGCTGGAATCATAGGGAGTTCTTCAGCAGCGGATGGCAGGGTGAGGTTGGAAACCTAGGAAAGCCTAGGATATGCTCCAACGAGTTAGTGGGGTGGTTCGGTGAGATTGGGAACCTAGGGGAGCCTAAGAGTTGCTTTGGTGGATATTGTGTTGCTGGTTAGTGGATATTTGGTGCACCGGTGGGGTAAGTGACTTAGAGGATTCAAGAGGATTACTGAGGAAAGTATAGGTAGGTGTGGAAGGTAGTATTGGGCCCGTACTACTGAAAGCACAGGACCCATACTCGAATCGGTGAGAGTCTTAGAGAATCTGAGAAGCTTACGGGAAGGAGAGTTCTTGGTTATGCCTTGATCGTGGGAATAGCTGCTTTGTAGAATGAGGATGGGCACGCATGGGTAGGACTAGGATTTGGTCCCAGCTCCGGTGGTGAGCCAGTTAGTGGAAGGACTGCCAGGGTTTTGAGTTCGCCTTAGATCTCTTGTATCAGGCGGCAAGGATTGATTGTGCGATCTATTACACTTTCGGGATTGGAGACTATGTCTTGGGGGTAATTAGTAGTTGGGTTTAGAGCAGAGGTTGCTCCAGCTATTGGAGTTCAGTCGTTGACGAGTGACCTGGTGAGTGGGTCAGTGTGCGAGACCCTGAATGATATGGGTCCCGGAGCCCGAGAGCGGAAGATCGATTTGGAGTACCTCGAGCAGAGAGGTTCAGGTCATGTGCATTTAGTGGAAGGTATCGAGAAGAGACCCAAGATGTGGGACAACATTTGAGAGGCCAGCAGGGCCGGAGTCAGTGCAATACATGCGGGGAACCGTACGATGGGGTTTGTCGCTCCGGGGGTTGGGTTGCTACTGGTGTAGCATGATTGGTAACGACAGCAGGATTGTCTACAGGAGGCAAACCCGTTATATT